TTCATGCTGCGCCTCACTGTTGTGATAGATTTACAACAGCTAATACATGCAAACTAAGTTTGGGCACTAAACGCGAAAATTAAGGGTGGGGAAGGCGTGTCCCTGGGGGTGGGCAGGGGGAAGTCTGAGGGCCGCTAGTGCCCAGACACCCGGAGGAGTTTCTCATCTGATGAGCTCAGTGACAGCAGGTATCTGTGCCCGGGAGCCACTGGGAGGCATGTGTCCGCCAGCCCGGAAAGCGGTTAAAATCAAGCCCTCAGACCCCTGCTCTGCCCACAACTCCCTTCCAGACTTAGCGGACCGCCCCCGCCCCACACACACACACACACTCCCCCAGACAGAGCCCATTTCCCTAAGGTAAAAGCCCTCTGTCCTTCACAGCCCCTCAGTGAGCACCTACTATGCGCCAGGCATGTCCTGCCAGGGTGGGGAGCGGGGGTATGTGGAAGGGGGTGGTCTGCACAGGCTTCTCCGAGGGTGGGGGAGCCGGGGTCTTCTGGGAAAGGGTTGCCCCTATTACCCCTCACCACAACCCTGTGGGCGGGAGCCAGGCCTGGTCCCCAAACGGGGCACAACTTGCCTGTGTTCCGGCCCTTCCCAGGCAGGACCAGGAGCCCCAAGGGGGCCCTGGGGAAGGGATTGCCACAGAAGCGTCTCAAGGCTGTCAGGTCAGAGCAGAGACCTCGGGGTGACCCAGCTGTCCCACCCACATATGTCCCACCTGCCCCAAGCAGGACCCACCCTCCTGGGCACAAGACCCTCTGACCAGCCCTTTACCAAATTCCTTCCGCCTTCTCCAGGTGTGGCCCCTCTGTCCCGCTTCCTGGAAGGCACCCTTCCTCCCAGGACACTTCCCCAGCGGGCCGGCGCCGTGAGCCTCCTCCCGCCGATTGTCAACCTTCCACCCAGAAGGAATGATCACGGGTCACGGCACACTCCCACCAGCCCCCCCCCTGGGGCCTGCCCCACACAGGCAGGGCATCCCCACCTTCTCCCACCATCACTGGCCGAGAGGCGGGGCAGGGCCCGGCCCTGGGACCCAGCAAACAAGACAGGCCAGGCCCTGTGCTCTTCCGTGGACAGCCCAGCGAGGGCCGATGGATCCTGGTCAGGAGGTAATTTCAGACCATGGTCAATGCTCTGATGACAGTAAAGGCAGGAACTGTGTCAAGACTGTGACGGGCAGAGGAGACGCTGATGGAGCCATCAGGGCGGGTCCCACCCAGGAGGTGGCGGCTGAGCTAAGAGGAAGAAGAGCTGCCCAAGAGAAGCTGAGGGAATGGTGTTCCAGGCAGGGGAACAGCAGAGGCAAAGGCCTGGGGGTGGGAAGGAGCTTGATATGTTCAGAGACCAACAAGGGGTCAGCGTGGCTGAGGGGCTGGGGAGCGGGGGCCACCGACTACAGGTGAACGGCCTGCCTTCTGGCCCACCTCCCCATCTACAACATGGGCCCAGCTGGTCTCCGCAGCGACATGAGGCTCCAAACACATAGAACCCAGCCCCGTCTCCACCCCCCATCCCTGCCGCCACTGCCACCTCCTATGAGCAGGGGTGACGGAGACCCCAGCCCACACCGTGTCGGGGAGCAAGCCTTGCCCGGTGCCCAGATCGCCCCCACTCACAGAGCACACCCCGCACACCACAGGCCTCCTCTCCGCCTGTCCCCAATAAGATTTTTTTAAATTGAGATGCAACCATCATCCCACCGCTGGTTGTCCCCTCCAGCGATCGGTTAAAATGACTCCAGACAACTGGATCAGACTCTGAAGGTGGCCGCCGATGGAGATAATGAACGCGGGGGATGCGGTGTTGACACAGGCCCTGGCAAGCTGCATTACTATTTAACAGCCTCGCTGCTGCCTCCACTGGGATCAAGGAGCTGAACAAGCATCACACCCTGAGACAGACTGCGGGCGCTGCTCCCTGGGGGATGGGCTCGGCAAGGTCAGGGGCAGCCAGCGGGGGCCAAGTGGGCCTAATGGAGACAGCCCGGGCGGCCCGCCTTGGAGGCCTCCCGGGGAGCCATCCACACCACCCCGGGGCCCACACACACCGGGTTGTCTTTGGCTTGGCCTTGGCTCATGGGGCTCTCTCTGCCTAGAGCATCCTCCTGCCTCCTCTCTCCCTTCACCCCTCAGAGCCCAGCCTCCTCAGGGATCCCGCCCTCCGAGAACCTTCCCTGCTCCCATCCCTCCTCTGGCTGCGCCTGGCACCCACCTCCCCTGGGTTCCCAATGGGCCTCCTACTGGCTGACCCTGAGCTCCTGGGGAGCTGACACCGGGTCTTCCTCGTGTCCATCCGTCCAGCACCCTCCATGAGGGCCGGAAAGGCAGGACACCACCTGTCTGTCCTCCACGACCCTTTCCGGTGCACCTGCCATGTGAGCTACGTGAGCAATCCTGGGCCCCGAAGAAGTGTTGGTGGAAAAAGCAGGTGTGTGAACAAATGAGAGTTCCCAAGAGGGCACGTAGGATGGGACAGAAACTGCAGGGGACAGTGCAGCCCAAAGGAGACGGAGCCTTTAGCCTTCCAGGGCGGCCGGCACGAAGGTCAAGAGCAGACTCGGGTGTGGGGGCCTGTGCTCAGATCCCAGCTCAGCCTCCCTCTAGCTGTGTGACCTTGGGCCAGCCACTTAACCTCTCTGTGCCTCTGTCTCCTCATCTGTAAAGTGGGAGTAATAAGAGTACTAATCTCAGAGAGGGATTCGGGGATGAAATAAGTTAATTTATGCAAAGTCCTGAAACCCATAAATGGTCCACATTAAGTTCTCAATATGTGTTGGTTGCTATTACCTCCTGGGGATGAGAGAAGCCAGGGAGAACTCCTTAGAATTAGCATACTCCCTAGATCAGCAGTTCTCAACCTGTAGGTCGCGACCCCTTTGGCGGTCAAACGACCCTTTCACAGGGGTCGCCTAAGACCATCCTGCATATCAGATATTTACATTACGATTCATAACAGTAGCAACATTACAGTTATGAAGTAGCAACGAAAATAATTTTATGGTTGGGTCACAACATGAGGAACTGTATTTAAAGGGCCAGAAGGTTGAGAACCACTGCCCTAGATGAACCCCCTTATGCTTTGGAATTTGGGCCAGAGCCACAGCCTTGGTCAACATATACTCCTCTGGGCTTGGAGCCCTGAACAGCATTAAGTATCTCAATCCCCCCGAAGGGTTTTTTTGAAATCGGGGGCCAGGGGGGGGGGGGGCGGGGGGGGGGGTTGGCTGCTAAGAGATGCCCTCTCTCTGAAGTGAGGCATTTGGCTGAAAAGCTCACACAAGGGCCCTTTCCTGCAGGTGCTGAGTCCTGGGCACCCGCACGAGGCCACAGCAGCCCAGACAGCAGCGCCATCTCCAGCCCCCTCCTCCGAGCCTGGCTGGCCGTGGAGGCACCAAGACGAGATGAGACGAATGTGGAGCCCAGACCAACGTGGAGCAGCCATGCAGATGGGGAGGCCATTAGCAGCCCCAGACCAAGCTGTTTTCCGAGCCGGGGCGCGAGGGCGGAGGCTCCCTCTCTATTGCAAGCAGCAGCAGAGCGTGGCTGTATTAAACATGCACGGCCATCACCTCGTTACTGTGCCCGAGGATCGTGTGTGCTGAAGGCGAGCTGCCCACACAAACTTTGCCATTTCCCTGGCGGCAGACCAGGCGCGTGCTCCCGCTGGCCCCGCTGGGAAGCCTCCCTCCCCTCCCCCTCCTCCACCCGCCTCCCCCACCCAGCACTTTATGACACCCTCCATGGTGTGCAAAGCAGGTGAAAGGCCATATTGATCCCTTTCTCAGAGTAGCGGACCCAGAACTAGTCTTAAATCACCCCAGCCTCGAGCTGCAGCCTGGTGGCCGCCCGGCGACAGGGGCGGCAGGGCAGAGCTGAGGTGCAGGGCCTGGGCAGGACGGCACCGTGGCTGGTGAGGGACAGAATCGGAGGAGAGGTGGGCAGGGCCCGGCCCAGGCCCCTGTGCTTCCCTTGGTCCATGGCAGCTGTCAGCAGGAGGAAGCATTCCTGGCAGTGAAGGGAGAGGATGGCGGACCCACAATGCAATACGGACACACGCCCACCAACACGGACTCTCAGGAAGCAGCGTGGTTTTCCACATAAGCCACATAATGTGGCGACGAGGATTTCAGTTCGGCAAACAAGTAGTGATAACTAGTGTTCATCGGACACTTACTTTGTGTCAGGCACTGTGTGAAACAGTCCCTTTACATAAACATTCTCACTCACTCCTTAGGTAGCTCTACACCATCATCCCAATTTACAGATGAAGTGACAGGCCCAGGAAGGCTCGGTGCCTTGTCCCAGGGCTGACAGATTGGCAGGGCAGAGCCAGGGTCCCATCTGAAGCAGGTGCTGGCAAACCACACCCCTCGATGGAGGGATGCCCAGCAGACCCGAGTGGGGCACAGCCAGGACAGGGAGGGGTGCCTCCCACTTCCACCCCCTCCAAAAAGCCCTGTGGCCCTGGGAGGGGCCAAGTGGCACCCAGCTTTCCCCAGATCTTCAGGCCCTGCTGCCCATACCCCTCCCCAACAATCCACAGCCAACTTCTCTGCCCCCTCAGGCCTGGGGCTTCCTGGTCCGACGGACCCTTCCTGGGAAGATCCTTCCAGAAACACCTCTCAGGTCCCGTTCTGCCTCCGGCCTCCAGGATGGCTGTGCCCACACCGGCTGTCCCCTCAGCACAGCTGGGTCCCGGGCACCAGAGCGAGAACAGGCACCTCCACTGGCAGCAAGAGCCACAACTCAGGATGCAGATCATGGCCCAGTGTAGTCAAGACCTTCCCCTCACGGCAGCCTTGGGGATGCATGTGTGGGGACAGAGGGCAGGGCCCAGCAGGGATTGTGGGTCCCCCTGCTTCCTGACAAACCGATCCCTGAGACACAGATAGGAGCTGAGAGCCGTGCCAGCGAGAAGGTCAGAGGGTCAGCAAGGGTGTGCCCAGCTGATGGCCCCGTGGGCAGGGGCCACGAGCCACGATGAAAGACCAGTACCTGAGTCTGCAAGCTGGTGGCGTCCAGGACCGTGACCCGAGGCCCACAGCTGGCCCACACGGCGTCCTCCAGGCTCAGCAGGGTGCGGATGGGCCCTGGCCCCACTGTCAGGCACACGGGAGGGCTCTCCAGGTCCCAGGGCACATCTCCTGGGAGGAGAAGAAGACGCAGGTCAAGGCCCAGGGAACCACGGCCTGCAGCGGGGGGGCCCAGCCTGGCTCCACAAACCCTCTCACCCGCTTCTGTGGGGGATGGTGGCTGTTCCCATTGGCCTGCATTTATGACCCATCCCATGGGGGCTGGACTCCCCCCTCCTCTTCCTCTCTCTCCTGTTCATTCGTCCCACACACACCTGCCTTCTCGCTGATCTGCTCGCCTACCATAAGGCACTCTACCACCTTTACCAAATCTCTGACGACCTTTCTCCTCCAGAGACGCCATGGCCCCCGGTGTGGAAGGAGGAAGTCCCGAGAAGAAATCAGTGCCCAGTCCGCCACCCCGCAGATGGAACTAACCAAGGGAGCTGGCCTGGCCCTGAACAAGGCTCTCCCTGCCCACCCAAGAACAGGCCAAGAATTTCCCTGGCACACAAGCCCTGCTGGCTATGATGGGTTTTTCCCTTAAGTCACACAGAACCCCAGTGGCTGTCCTGTCTTGTCAGGATGCCAGGTGGGAAAGAAGGGAGGAAGGGGGCATACCCGGGAAAGACAGATAGCAGTAGCTGGGCCTGGGGGGCAGGACAGAGCCTGCTGCTGGCTTGCCAGTGCCCAGCCACCCCACACTCCCTCCACGGGACCCTGCAAGCAGCCCCATCATAGACCCTCCCTCCGAGCCAGCTGCTGGTGACAGGATGGGGCACAGCTGTCGGTAGAGCTGGAGGGGCCACCAGGGTACATGGTGAGAGCCACTGCCTGCAGTGTGGCAGGAAGAGCCCTTAGAGGACAGACTATCACACCCCAGGCTTTATACCACCTGTAAAGCAGGTTTGCCTCTCTCCCTTCTGTCCTACTTAAACCTGTCAGACTCCCAGCTCACCTGAGAGCTGGGGAATAGGGACCCCTCCCCACCAACACACTACCAGGTCTTCCCAGCCCGTGCATATGAGCACATGGGAAGCAGGCAGGGCCAGAATCCTGGCTGTGGCCTCTGAACTTCTGCATGAACTAAGACAGGTGACTTCACCTCTCTGAGCCTCCGTTTCCTCATCTGCAAAATGGGCACGATGACCATGCCTACACCTCACCGATGCTGCAGGACTAAATAGAACGTGCAGAGCATTTAGCTCAGGGTTGGCACACAGCAAGGAGCGACAACAGCTGTTGATCCATGCCGTTACATATCCGCACGCCAGGCACTGTTTTCACGAATTGTTTTCCTGACTCCCAGCCTGTGCCTTCTATTTTCATCCCTGTTTTACAACTGAGGAAGCGGAGACGCGGAGTTTAAATAGCCAGCCCGAATCACACAGCTCGAGAGTACAGGGTGCTCATTAGCCCATACTGTTTGGTGTCATTTGCCACCACATAACAGTCTGTGGAAACAGGTGTTGACTCCATTTGACTAATGTGACAATGGAGACCAGGGAGCTGAGAACTTGCCCGAAGCCACCCAAGGGGTGACAGGCCAAGCAGGGCTGAAACTCAGCTGACCCACTCCCCACCCCCGCCCTGCTGCCCTCTCAGGTTCCAAGAGCTTCCATAGTGCACTGGGGCTGTACCTGGGGTCAGGGACAAGCGAGTGACCACAGGCAGCCAGGCACACTGAGCCCCACCAGAACACCAGAGCCACAAAATGCAAGGCTTTGAGCGCCCCCCAGTGGCCACGGGTAAGTAGTGCTTATAGGCAGAAGCTGGAGTTCCCTCCACTGCGACCTCCTTCCCAGTAAGCAGTTGAGAATACTGGGACCACACCCCGAAAACTAGGAAATGGGGCTCTGCTTGGTGAGCACCAAAACCCTTGCAACCTCTACCCTGCAAGGAATAGCGTGGCCGGGGCTGCCTGAGGTCGGAGCCAGGGTCTGCTACCCCTGAGGGTCACAGGGGCTCTGACCATACCGCCACTTGCTGGGCTTCTGCAGGAACCTGTAAGTCCTGCAGTGGTTCTCAACCTTCCTAATGCCGCGACCCTTTAATACAGTTCCTCATGTTGTGGTGACCCCCAACCATAAAATTATTTTCGTTGCTACTTCATAATTGTAATGTTGCTACTGTTATGAATCGTCATGTAAATATCTGATATGCAGGATTTATTTTCATTGTTCGCGACCCACAGGTTGAGAACCGCTGCAGATGTCCTGACTCCAGGACAGAATGATAAACTGTGACGGAGTTTAATGCCTGTATTGTTATATCAAAAGGACCCTGGACAGGAGTCCCCACAGTGGGACCCTGAACCAGAGGCCGCCCCTTGCTGGGACTCAGCTCTCCCATCTGCACCCGAGGGACAGAACTCTGACCTCTCTGGTTCTTCCCAGCCCTCGCGGCCACAGCTCTAAGACTTTAAACGCAATCATTGTGAGCTCTGTGCAGGGCAAGCCCCCTGCAGCCAGGGAAGGGGGGGGGGGTCCACCTTCCATCCCTTCCTTGCCCTCCAGGCTTTAGGTGCACACATACATGTTACAGAACCCACATGCGCACTCATACACACATGCACACACCCACTCCCTGTGTGACAGCCCATTCGTCTGGGCCCCTCACCAGCTCTCGTGCTGCCAGGCCAAGGGGGATGAAGGCCCTTGGAGGTCCCGATCCAGCTGGAACCGAAGGCAGGACACTGGGTAAAAGTCATTGAGACTGAGAGGGGCCCCCAAGGGTCGCCCACGCCTGGTCAGTATAATAAGGGCGGTGACAACCATTCAGACGGAGGTAACAAGCACCAGGCTACTTGTGTGGCTGATCCCACCTGGCCTCCACAGCCAGCCTGTGCGGGGGGCAGTCTTCATCCCCATTTTACAGGTGAGGAAACTAAGGCTCCAAGAGGCGAAGTAACAGGTCGTCTCACAGCTGGGTCTCAACCCCGGGCAGCCTAACTCCCCAGCCCGTCCCCTCACCCCTCCTGCAGGAGGTGACCCTGCCCACAGCCCCAGCATCTAACCAGGGACTTTCCCACACCTGCCCCCAGGCCTGCTCAGAGATGAGGCAGACAGAAGGGATCTGGGTAGCCCTGCTCAGACACGGGACTGGGCGGGGACAGTGGCCGTCTGGCTCCTCTCTGAGTCCTGGGTCCTGCTCAGTGCCTGGCACCTCAGAGCACAGAATACATCTTTCCTGAGTGAGTGAATAAATGAACAGATGAATGAATGACTTCCATGGCCACACTGCTCTTGACCTCAGTTTCCCCATCTGTCAGCTGGAGGTTGAACTCTGAAGCCCCTCTGGCTCTGACAGTCCAGTTAGTGACCTGGTGGCCTTGGGTTCCTCAGTCCCTTCTCAGCTGCTGGCCCCACAGGTCCTCCAGGACTCGGCCAAATCCCAGGCTAATATTTCTGGTCCTGCCCTCTTGCAAGGAGACAAAGCGTGGGCCAGGAATGCCAGTTTTATCCAGTCGTGGTCTCAGCCAAACCCAGGCAGGACGGTAACCTCTCATCCTATACCAGCTCCAAGCCCAGGATAAGGGTCTGGAACATTCACAACCCTTGACCCTCCCGGCCACCAGGGGGCGCCAGCGGTGGGTTCTGCAGGCACAGGGCTCCAGCTCTGTGCTCCGGCTTGGGCTGGGATGGAGTCGGGGTGTCTGAGGGGTATCCGAGGCCCTGGTGAGTCTGGAGGAGGTCGCACAGCTCAGTCATGGATAAGCCGGATGGCCCCAGTCCCAGCCACAGGCAGCCCGGGTGAGAGGCGACATGGAAGTGTAAGCTCCCTGCTTGTTCACGGAACTCATTCTGTCTCCCTCTGCAAACCCTGCGAGGGCAGGGTCACATCTGCCTTGCTGGCCCCCGTACCCATGGTGCATAGTAGGTGCGCAGTAAATATCTGGTGCACAAATGTTTGCAAGGGGGATAGGTATCTCAGCCTTCTCCTCCAGGCCGGACGCTGCCAGCTCTGCTCGGAGAAGCCAAGGCCCCCTGAGCCTGGAGAGGGCTCGAGGCCCGGACGGAGGACATTAGGGTTCAGGTCTCAGCTCACCCCTGAGACTCTGGGAAGTGGCGGGGGGCGGGGGGGGGGCGTTCAATGGTGCCCAATGGCCCTTCTGGCTCTGACAAATGACCAGTCCCAGCCCCAGGCTGAAGGCCAGTGGGTAGAGCCAAAACCCCCACTGGGTTGATTGTGTCCCCAAAAATTCATGGGGAGTTCTAACTCCTAGGACCTCAGCCTGTGATCTTATTTGGAGATGGGGCTGTTTGCAGATATAATTAGTTAAAATGAGGTCACCCTGGAGGAGGGGGGGCCCTGGTCCAAGGTGACGGGTGTTATTATAAAAGAGCAAAACATGGACACAGACACGCACTCAGGAGAACATCGTGTGAAGAAGGGAGGCAAGCTGCCGCGGCCAGGGACCACCGAGCTGGGGGCCGAGCTGGGGTCAGGCCGGGACAGCTCCTTCTTTGGCATCTTCCTAGGCAGCGCGGCCCTGACAGCACCCTGTCCCTGGACTCTCAACTCCAGAACCATGAGTCAGTGAATTTACAGTGTTTAAACCCCTCAGTTTGTGGGGTCTATGAGCAAACTCACACACCACCCCCTTCCCTCCTCCCAACCTGGGCGCCCAAACTGATGAGTCAGGAACCAGGAAGGGAAGAGCCAAAGGCGGCCCAAACTGGGACCAGGAGGCCAGAGTGGGACCAGCGTGGCTCACAGTATTCGGTGGGGCTGCAGGGTGGAGTCCCTCCAGAACCCCTAGTCCACTCCCCGAAGATCTGCGCCCATATTTGCATTCACAGGCACGCTCCGATGGTAAGAAGAATTTTTTCCCTCCCTCTTCCCCCTTTAATTAAAAACTATAAATGCCTTATCAAAAGCTAATTAAAAATACCAACACAGTGCCAAGTGGCAAAAAAAAAAATAGCTCAGTACAAATATCCGTTTATAATCCTGCAACAGGCTGTGATGACGCAGCAATTAGAGGCTCCTGGGAGGGAGCGGGAGGAAGGGCTGGGCAGCCACGGGACTCATCAGCCCTCTCGGGGGCACCGGGGGCAGCACCCTCTCCCCACCCCCCAACCCCCGGCTCTTGTCATCATCCAACTAGGAGCTGAACAAGCCACAGGGGACCGGGGACCCCAGCACCGGGTGGCTGTGCTCCAACGCATCCCCTCCCAGTCTCAGCACTGGGTCTGTACAGGGGAGGCAATTCTCAAGGGCTGTGGAGACAATTAAGATAATGGCCAACATCAAGCACTGCGCCGTGTTTCTGGAACACAGCCGCTCACACCGTTGGCCCTGCCCTCCAGCGTCATAATCGGGGCCGTCCACGGCTCGATGAAATCAGAGATTCAAAAGCCGGCCTCACTGGCATCCCTGGGCCAGGCCCTGCGCTTTGCCTTCACGGGGTTGTTTGACCTGCCAGGACCCGTAAGTGGTGGGTTTGGCCATTATTGCCATTTTAGAGACGAGGAGACAGGCGTGAGGAGGAGAAGCGGCTCACCGATGGACACAGCTGGCATCAGGGCAGAGCCTGGCCCGGAAGCCAGGTCTGTGTGAACCCAGAACCCCTGCTCTTAGCCACTAGAGATTCCCTCCAATGGGCAGAGCTACCTGTGCAGGAGTGAGCACCCCGTTCCTGTGGGGACCCCGATGGGGACCAGGGATCTCCGATCCCCCCACCTCTGAGATGGCCTGGTTCGTTTCTGAGCCGCCACCTTGGCCTGCCTCCCACAACCATCTGGCACACGGTCCGGTTCCCAGCCCCACGTCCTCACCGCTGGTCCGAGGGTAGGCGGCGAGGGTCCCGTCCTGCAGGCCGGCAAACAGGTGGAAGGGGCTGTGTCGCAGGCAGAGCACGGGCTGCAGGCCTGGGCTCCTGCAGGTCGCCAGGCACTGGGTGCCCGTGTCCACGCTGCTGTAGATCAGGATGCTGTGGGGAGAGGCCCAGGTGACTCACTCAGCCCCCCATATGCCCTCCAGGGCCCCCTCAGTGGGACCAGGCCTTCGTTCCACCAAAGGGGAGCTCAGATTTTCCACAGGTGGCCTTTTAGGATGGGGTCTAGCCCAGCCTCTGTCTTGTGGAAGACAGGAGGGGGGGGGGCGTGGTTCCAGAAGCAGCACAATAAAGGTGCTGATCCCTGGCTGTTTTGCTCGGTGGTTAGAACATCAGCTCTCAGACCAAAGGGTCCGGATGTGATTCCCAGTTAAGGGCATGTACCTGGGTTGCAGATCTGATCCTGGCCCAGGTCAGGGTGTATGTAGGAGGCAACTGATCGATGTGTCTCTCTCACATCCATGTTTCTCTCTCTCCCCCTCCTCCCTTCCTTCCACTCTCTCTAAAAATCAATGGGAAAAAAGTATACTCATGTGAGGATTAACAAGGTGCCTACCTGAGTTTTCAGGGTCACAGACCTGAGTGTGAATCCAGCCAAGCCACTTTCCACCTGATGGACCCCAAAACAGCCTCCACGCGCTGCCCAGTCCTGCCCTCCTCCCCGGGTCCCTCACCTGCCATCCTGGAGCCCCAGGCAGATGGTCGGATGCACCGCAGCTGAGGGGTCAGCAGCCGTGTGGCTCTCGTCTTTGTCTCCATCTCCATTCTCCCCCTCCTCCGGCTCAGGAATGTACTCCATGCAGAGCACGGGGGCCGCCAGCGGGAAGGACTTGACCGTGCGGGGTGAAGGCCGGTTCAGGGAAAAGATCTCGACCTGGCCTCCTGCGCCCTCCTGACCTCCCCCAACCTGGGACAGAGACAAAAGAAGCTGTCAGGAAGAACCGTGAGAGCAGAGGCGGAGCTTGGCTCCTGCCCTCCCGGAGACCTGTCCCAAACTTCTGCTTGGCACTAATAACTGCGAGGAGCGGCCGCCTCCTGCCACATGCAGCCTGCTGTCACCGAAGGTCACTTGTCCCCAGCCCCCAAGGCAGCGAGTTCGATTCAGGGCGCAAAGGAAACCAGCTAAGGAGCTCAGGTGGACTAGATACTCAGTCAGCTTTCCATCTCCTTGTCTTTAGGCTAAATTTCAACCAACAAAGAGTGAACATACACTCTGCCCCTTTAAAATGTCCTATCTGCCTGTTCTCTGTTTTACTGTAGTGTCTAGCACATGGTATACCAGTATACTTGCTGAGTGGATGGAGGGATAGATGAATGGATGGATGGATGGAAGGATGGATGGATGGATGGATGGATGGATGGATGGATGGATAAATGGATAATGGATGGATGAATGGGTGGATGGATAGATGGAGACATAGATGGATGGATGGATACATGGATGAATGGGTGGATGGGTAGGTGGATGGATGAATGGATGGATGGGTATATGGATGGATGGATGAATACATGGAAACATGGATGGGTGGATGGATGGATGGATGGATGGTTGGATGGAAACACCATGTGCTAGAGAAACAGTGAAGAACAAATTGCCCTCAGAAGAGTGTCTATGGGAGGCACAATCGGCACTATAAGCAGCATGGGGAGGTCACCTATTCGAATCCAGGGAAACGTTGCCAGGAGCCCCGAGAGCAGAAAACTGGGCTGGGATCTGAGAGATGGGCAGTAAGCAGCCCTGCTTCCTGACCCCGGTGAAGACCTGCCACCCAGGCACACGGCACCGCTCCCGCTCATTTCCTGCACGGCCTGTGGCCTGTGCAAGAGTCATGCTCACTGGTTTGTCCCTGGTTTTCTGTTGTCCCTGGTGAGGTGGCTGGCACCTGCCAACTCCAAGCCCAGGGCCTGGGACAGGGTCCCATTAGAACTTGCCGGGTAAAGTGTACAAAATGGGCCAGCAGGCAGGTGGCTTTCTCCAGCACCCCTCCCAGGGGCTTCTCTCCCTGTTCCTGCCCTGAGCCAGAGCTCCTGGCTGGGGACAGGGGGTACTCACCCAGAGGTAGCCCTGTGGAAGGGAGGTGCTGACCGCCGAGAAGCCCAGCAGGGGAGAGCTGACAGGACTGTGGACCAGAGCCCCAAGCTGCGGAGACAGAGGTGACACGTGCAGGGTTAAGTGTCGAGGTGCCCGAGAGGCCAGCGTCCGGCTATGGAACCTTCGTGTGAACCACCTGCAGGGGTCAGGGGTCGTTAAACCTGCAGATTCCCAATGAGGATCCCTGAGGATGGGCCAGGAGAGGGGGAGGTGTCCAGGATCTCCAGGAAGTTCCTAGGCACCCACATTTGACCATCTCTCTCCTAGAACCTCTGGCTGGAAGGGGCCTGGCTGATACTCTGGGACCCCAAGGACTTCTCCAACTGACCACCTCCCATTTAAGCTTCGTTGAAAACCACTAACACCCACTCCACTCCCTTTACTTTACACAGGATGGCCTAGGCCACAGGGAAGGTGAGGGGCAGGGCCTGGCCTGTGCCCACCTCCCCCTCCGCCTTCCTGCACGCCTCCAGAGAAACAGCGCGGGACCCCCAGATCATCAGAACCACTCTGCAGGCGAGCCCCCAGGACACAGGCCCGGGTGGCTTGTGTGGGCTGCCGGCAGGGGCCGGTGGCTCTGTCTGTGACGGGCTGTCACCAAGGGCCACCAGCGACTTGTTCCTCCTGCAACTTCTTCCCCCAAATCCATGCCAGGGGGGTCTCTGGGGCCTGTTTCCTGAGCTAGATCCTGCTGGTCTGGCCCTCTGGCCAGGACGGCAATGGAAGGAGGTGGCCTGGCCCTTTCAAGGGCTTGGCTTTGCCCCTCTGAGGAATGCGGCTGTGGCTGGACCCTTTGCCGGGCAGGTGCTGCCCTCTGCTGGTGCTGAAGGCCCTGGCCAGCACCAGCCCTGCTGGAACATTCTAACAAAATACCTAATGGCCATAGGTGAGGGGACCAGAGGTCACCTCCTCCAGCCCCTCATTTAGGAGTCAGTAACCGTGAAGTTCGGGGAAGGGGAAGGGGGAGGGGGACATGACTGGCTCCAGGTCACACAGCACGTCAGTGGGAGCGTCAGGGCTGGAATTCAGTTTTGCTCCAGTGCTGGGCCCCTCTTGGTTGAGTTCTACCCAGAGACCAAGCTGGAGGCCTCGGCACGCTCACACTCATGGCCCAGCCTCTCCTACTCCTGGGCTGCAGCCTCGCTGCCTTCCCTAGGGCACCCAGGGCGGGCCTCTGTGCTGCTCTGGCTATTTGGAATATTCTTCCCCTGGGCCCTCACCAGGTTGCAACCTTCTTGCCATCCGGGTCACAGTTTAATGCCACCTCCTCCGAGAGGCCCTCTCTGTTGGCACCATCTCTGTATCTATTAGATCTGATTTATTTTCTTTAACACACACCTCTCCTTTCAATTTCCCTTTGTTTGCCAGGGTTTTTCCTCTCTCTCTCTCTCTAGATTGAACGCTATATGAGGGTATGTTGCATGTTTTGATCACCACTATGATTCCCAGTGGCCAGGACAGGGCCCAGCACACAGTAGATCCTCAACAATGATAGGCAGCTTGGACGAATGAATGGATGGATGGATGAAGGAACGAATGAATAAACTGACATCTCACGGCTATGTTCTTTCAGCTACTTAGCACCCCAATCTGCAGTCCTAGCCACTTAGCTCTTGGGACTTATTTACCTGGGCCTGGGTCCGAGCTTGCGCTCCCCTCCCCAGAGCTCAGATGACCTCATCTCCCTGAGAGGACGATGGGCAGCAGTTGCTCCAGAAAAAGGACAGGTGACCAGAGGCGGTGAAGACCACAGGTGTGGGAACCAGATAGAACGAGGTTCTCATTCCTGGACCCATCCTTACCGGCTGTGTCATTTTTAGAAAGCCATCTGTCTGAGCCCCAGGTGGGCCTTCCCTGTGAAATAGATCTCGAAACACCTACTTATCGGGGTCTCAAAAACAGTAAAACAAGAGAGTGACGGCCGAGCAGTGACGGGGGAGCACCGTAGGTGCTTGACGAATGGAAGGCGTGATGGCTGTGAAAGGTGTGCTGTCCTCCCCTCAGGCCCCGCCCACATCAAAGCCCCGGCTCCTGCCTGGCTCCAGCCCACAAAGGGTCCAACCCACAAAGCCTGGCTCGGCCGCTCGGGCATATTCCGGCCTATTCTGGGCTGGAGTCAGGCCATCGACGGATGAGATCACTGCTATTTGTTAGCTCAAAATAATGGAATTTTCCGTTCACTTGACCCACGGAGGGCATCCACCCCCACATTGTGGGCAGGACAGCTGACGCCCAGAGCAGTAAAAGGGCTCAACCAACTCCATCGGGAAAAAGCTGAGGCACTGGGTCTGGGGCCTCTCCCGCTGTGGGCACAGCCTGGAAACGCTGGTTCTCCCAGGAGAAGGTGAGCAAGAGCTGCCCCCTCACCTGCAGGCTGAGGCCCCGCGAGGAGAAGGCGGGGATGCAGCAGGCCAGGGTTGGGCACCAGAACGGGGCTTTGCTCTTCTTGTCCTCGTCCGGACATCGCCAGCCTGGCTGGTTCTCCTCTCCTACAGCAAAAGGAAGGAGGTGGGTGACGCAGGTCGGAGTGCGAGGACCAAGCAGGCTGGGAGCAGTCCTGGAGCCCAGGGAGCCCCCGCAGGCCCCAGAGGTCCGGCCTGCACGGCGGCCTAGACAGACTCCACCACTCACTCACCCCCCTGACCCCCAGGCCCAATCCTGCCCATCTGAGATGAAATCTGGCCCCACTCTGTGGTCATGGCCGTGGGTCCCCAGCCAGGAGCCCAGACACCTAAGGTTTGAGTCCCCCACTTGTCCAGCCTCTTGCTTAGCAACCTTGTGCAAATCACCCCAACTCCATGAGCCTCAATTTCTCCACCGATACAACAGGGACGATGAAAATGCCTTCGTCCTGCGGCTGTTGTGAGCATCCAGTGAAATAAAACATGGAAAGGGGTTCAGGAAGTACTAAGATGCTGGACTCAGTCCAGGCCCAGCTGCCTTGCCCTTAGCTTCAGAGAGGGGAGAGGGTCCGAGGCCAGCAAGCGGACAAGGTGATTTCCGATTGTGATGACGATGTAAGTTCAGCTGCGTTTACACCTGACGGTGAGGACGATGGTGCTGGGGAAGACTCTTACTCTGTCTGCCTGCCTTTGAAGCCACCCTGAAACCTCCAGGTCCCCCAGGCAAGCTGGGCATAGAAGCCCCGGGACCTGTTACAAGTACAGACACCCAGGCCCAAGCCCAGACCCTCGACTCACATTTGGAGACCTCTGTGCTCAGGATCATCCACTGTACCAGTGTGTCCTTCACATGGGTCAGGGCTCCCTCCCATGCTGCCGCCTCCAAGAAGTCCTCCATGACCACCCTGGCTACCGTGGCTCCCTTCTCTCAGGGGAAAAGCCTCCGACTCTAAAGACCCTGTCAGACTTCTCGCGTAGCCTTCACCACAATCTCAAATCACCGTGTCTACTTTCTTGTTTATAATCTGTCTCCATGTGTCTCTAGAATGTAAGTTCAGGGCAGCCAGATCCAGGGTATCTCCTTCGTCACTGTCTCCCTGGCCCTCAGCACACTGCCTGCACAATTAGTGCTCAGCAAACATGGGTTGAAAGAATGAATGAAAGGAGTGAGCAAGTGAGTGGGTGAGCAAACCTCCACTTCTTCCAAAGAGTCCTCCCTGCTAAGGACCCCATCCTTACGCTCCACATGGCGACACTCCATATGACGACTGCCTTCCCGGGGCCTGGACAGCAGGGGCACGGTACAGCTAGGACACCCTACTGTGTGTCCACGCGTCAGGCACACACTGAGTGCTATGCGCGTGTCCCCTGGCCTTGTTTTCACACGGACCAAGCACAGTCAGATAATGATTTTCACTTCATGGACGATGAGAGAGACACTCAGGGATTATGCTGACCAGGTCACAGGCAGGCCTACCTGGCCGAGCCCAGATGGGGACCAAGGACTGACTGACCCAAAGCCCAGCTTCTTTGCACTAAACCAGGCATTCTTCTAGCATCTACTCCTACCGACAGCCATGAGCATTACTGACCCTTGACATGGTGATGCCGGACAATGAGGAGGAGGCTCAGCCCCAGGGAGCCAGAGGCGCTGGGACACCCTGAGTGAGAGGGGCCGCTTAGCACAGTGACATGGAGCTGAGGGGAGCCAAGAGCTCTGGAGATGGGGGAGAGGTCATTGACTGAACTGGCGTGGCACAGCCTTCCCCCCACACCCCCCACCCCCACCCCCAGCACGGAGCAAGCCCTGGAGAAGTGCCGTCGGGGAGGGGAAACGGGACATCAATGAAGGGCATGGCGTCTGGGTTATCCCAGGTCGTCTGTGCAGCATGGCGCCTATAGCTAGCAACTCCGTATGATGTGCTTAAAGATCTGCTCAGAGGATCTTACACGAATTGTTCTTATCACGAATAGTAACAGCTAAGCGGGCAGGAGGGGGTTTGGGGATGGATTTGTTATGTGGCATAGACTGTGGGATGGGCTCACGGGCACATACTAATCTCCAAACTCCTCAAGTCGTGTGCATCCGACATGCACGCCTGTGTGTGTCAATCGTGCCTCACGAAGAGGCTTTTGAGAAAATGCCACTGCCCCAGAGGAAGGCGGCGCCTGAGTGTCGGTCACGGCGAGAGAGCTGGGCGCAGTGGCAGGTGCGGATGTTCCTGGAGACGTCAGAGACGCTTGCAAATGTCAGGCCCGACCAGCGCCTGCCCCACCCGCTCTCCCGCCCGGCGCACCCACTCCCTCAAGCAGAGTCGGCGGGCGGTGAGCTCACTCCCTACACGGCCCTCTGCCCCACTGGGCCCCGGAGACAAAGCCCCATCCAACCTGGTTCCTTCCACTGAGGAGGCAGGGCCACCAAGGAAGAGACAACTAAGGCACAGGGCGGGCATCAGCATAGCAGGACTGCGTGCACCACACTTCACGCTGTCTCCTTTCATCCTCCTGGCCGCCAGGGGGGACGGTGTTTCCATCCCCATTCTACCCTGAGCAACAGAGGCCGGGAAGACAAAGGCAGGGCCCAGAGCCCGGGACTAAGCCAGGGGGCCCTTCTCACAGCACCCACCACGCGGGGTGTTCGCCGAGACAGCCCACCCGCTGGGGGCAGCACCCACTTTCTTGTCGGGAATGAAGACGGCGAGATCTGAGCGTGCCCCTGCTCTCAAGGAGCTTACAGTCACGCAGACCCTCCCCTCGGCCAGACGGGAGCCCCGCAGCACCCCCAAACCCCACTCCTCGCGGGAGGCTTCCCAGAGCTCAGTGCTGTGAACATAACTCGCCCCAATCACGCATCCCCCTGAGCTCCCCTCCCTTCCCCTCCCCCCGGCACAGCCCATCGAGTCGTGGCGATTGGTTAGTGTCCATATTTCTTAATGATCTGACCTTCTCCTTCCAGATGGTGCCGTCCCGGCCTGCGCCTGGGAGCGTTAAAGGAAAATGGAGTTGCTGCTTCCCATCTGCCGCTGCCATTGTCCCTGTCACAAAACCGGCGCGGCTGAGACCGAATTAGAAGCTGTTGCTGCTGAAAATGGAAGGCCCACCTGGGATAAGTGACATGAAGGACTGGCACCGACGTCAAAGCTGCGATTTCCCAGTGACGTTAAGTGGGGACTTGTTTGGCGCCCAGCTCTGCAGTGCCCACGGCACCAAAGAGTGCCCGTGGGGCAGCAGGAGCAGCTCAGGGCTGGGGGCCGTGCCCCTGCCGCCCCCCCACCTCCGAGCCTGCAGAACAGCCCCACAGGCTGCGGGAGGCCGGCTCTCCTGGCAGATCCCGACTCAGCCTCACTCAGCGCCACGCTGAGCCGGACACTCAGCCCTCAGAGGCTGTGGCCTCATCTGGAAAATGGGGGAGTCATTCCAACCGTCTGCAGCTGCTGTGAGCACTGGGAGGAAAGGATATAACGCCTGGCGCCAGGCACTCAGGAAAGAGTGCCCATTCTGGCCATCGTCCTTGAGGTGGAGAGTATTGCCTAGCACTGCGCTTAAGGGCCCGGCCCATGGGGCTCCCCCACAGCACCACCGCCCTGCCTGGCAAACCCTGCTCAGACCCAGCGCGGTGCCTCTGTCACTGCCCCGCGAACAGCCCACTGCCTTCCCTCCCTCCCTCTCACAGCTCCCGGCACAGACGTGGGGCTGGCAGGACATCACCACGCGTTCTCTCCAAACACCCCTCCCCTGGGATCCAGGCGAGCGGCCATGGTCACCCAGCTGGGTAACACCCAAGTCATGCCCACGGCCACCTCGGCCCCCTCCTGGTGGACAGACCCACTTCCAGTGAGGGCTCAGCCAGGTCCCCACCTCAGGTTGAGGGTTAAAGGACACGAGGGTTACAGCACTCCTGGCACATACCTGGGCTGTGCTCAGACCTCCACAATGGACCCACCGCAAGGGGGAGCAGTGGTGTTCCTGGGAGGGCTGAGGGCTGGAATACCAACCGAGGCAGAGGCAGCGAGGGAGGGGCCCCGGGCCAAGCCTGTGACATATGCCCCATGAGATATGCCCTGTGAGATATGCCCCCGTGCAGTCAGGGTGAGAGGAAGATACAGGGGGGGAATTAAAGGAATAACGTCTTTTGTGAATAAATTTTTTAAACACATCTTAATGGGCTCATGTTATTTTCCCCTCCCCACCAGGCACTGCAGATAAAAAAAACAAACTGGCAAAATAAAATGCACAAATTATTCAAGCCCCAGGGGAACCCAGGCACTCAAATAAGATTGGAAATGACTCTCGTTCCATTAAAACTTTTTGCTGCAGAGAAACTGCGCAGACAGGGCGGCTTCGCAGGCAGCGAGGACTGCGAGGCTCGTCAATCAGCTCCTCCCCGCCAACGCCAAGCCCCACCCCACAAAGCAACTGGGTTCCAACAGATTCACCTGCTCTGGAGCAGGTGCAGGAACAGGGCGGGCGGAGGCATCTGCCCAAGACGCAACTGCTGCACCAGCGGGGGTGTGGCCTGAGCGTGCAGGAGCGGGGCTAGCTTAGCCTTTCCTTGGGCCAGCATTCCCACAGTCCTCCGCCAGGGCCAGGAACAGCCTCTGCTTACAATCCTTCCTCCGCCCTCCTGGTCACGAAGACACATCCAACAGAGGCCTGTGCACTATCAGCACCAGGTTCTAGAAGGGACTGGTGAGCAAAAGCCTCTGATCCTGGCTCCTCCTCCAAAGCCACAGCCTCCTCCCATGCCCTCCCGACCTCCACGTGCCCTCTGCACAAGGCCAGAATGATTCACGTAAATAGAACCCGGGCCATGCCACTGTCCGGCTCTCGATGCTACAACAAATACTCCCCGTCAAGTTCCATACACCTTGCCCTGGCTTTCTGGAAAACCTGCCCCCGCCTCCACCTGCCCAATCCCCCAGCTCTGGCTACCTCAGGACCTTTGCACTTGCTGTTCTCAAGCCTGGACCATTTTTCCTGAAGCTCTGCATGGCTTCAGATGTCACTTCCTCAGATGCCCTCCATGACAGCACTCCCAACCCCCAGGCTTGGTGCCAGTCAGGTCACCCCGCTCTGTACCCTCACAGCACACCCCCTCCCTGACGGTTTGCTCCCCGTGTAAAGTCTGCCTGCCCCTCATCAATCGTGAGTTCCTTGAGGGTAGGGATCTTTCTGTTTCTATCACTGCTCTTTTCCCCTCTGCCTAAAATTACTGTAGAGACTCCATAGATCGTTGTTTCATTGACGAAAGTCCTGACCCCTTTCCGGAAATGTTGCAGAACCTATTGGGAAATATATACTTATCTAGAAAAGATCACAGCAGAAACCAAAAAAGCAATCACCGCTATTGGCTGGAACCAGCAAACGAGAATTCCGGTACATCACGAGGAATAATAGCTCTGATCGGCAAGGACCCGGGCCTTTTGTCAATTTACAAAAAACACAAATAAAGTAATTATAACTTAATGAGTGTGGTTTGGCAGACAGAAACTCGCCAAGTGGAGGAAGCGGGATGGACAGGAGCGGTTGCCCAGGGCTCGCCCCTCCTGCTGTATGAGCTCAGGCAAGTCACAGCACCGCTCGGGGCCTCTGAGCCCTCACCTGTGAAAAGGGGCTCACAGCCCTGCCGCTTAGGGTTACTGCGAATGTGAAACGAAAGCAGTGAGTAAAATGCTTAGGAAAACGCTCGCTCACAGGAAGCGCTCTGTGAATGCAGGGTCCATCGTTATCTGTACGTTATCGGGGTGCACAGGAGAAACGAATCATAAAGAGGTTCGTGGTAGAAAACCCGTTCAAGTCTAACCTGCATCGCTTTTGGATAACAGCTTTGTTAAGATATAATTCGGCTACCATAAAACCCACCCTTTGAAAGTGTACACTTCACTGGTTTCTAGTATATTAAGAGTTGGGCAACCATCATCCCAAAATTGAGAGTATTTTTATCACTCCCACTAAAACAAAAAACAAAACAAAACAAAAAAAACCCTTAGGGGAGGGTACAGACGGGCTGCGACCTGACCGCTGAGACCCAGGCGGCAGGTCCGGCGGGAGCGAGCGGGCGTGGAGCGGAGGCCCCGCACTGACGCTCCTCGCCTCCCCGGGCAGCCGTGCCCAGCCCGCAGCTCCCGCCATCGCCCCAGGCCCACGCCACGCTGCACGTGACGCCCGCTCCGTCAGTCCGCCGGTTTGTCCACCCGCCGCCGAGATGAGCGAGCTTAACACCAAAACATCCCCAGCAGCCAACCAGGCACCTGGCCCAGAGGAAAAGGGGGAAGCTGGCAATGCCAAGAAGGCCGAGGGCGGGGGAGGAGGAGGTGGACATCCACATGACAGCGCCGGAGACAGAGAAGGCTGCCCTGGCCATTCAGGGCAAGTTCCGGCAATTCCAGAAGAGGAAAAAGACCCCAGCTCCTGAGTGCCAGCCTCGCCCTCCCTACTCCACACTCCGCAGCTCTGGCTTCCATGCGCCTTGTCTCTGTCCCTCTATCCTGGGTGGGGACCGTCTGGCCCTCGGGCCGTACGAGGTCCACAAAATCATTTATTTGGTCTGGCCCTGCCAAGGCATTAGGGGTGAGTTAATTGAATGTTTGATCAAATATAGCAGGCTAATTTTTAAGTTGATAAAAAAAAACAAAACAAAACAAAAAAACCCTTAGCGGTCCCTCTCCAATCCCCCTCCTCCCAGGTCCCTGACAACCACTAATTTACCATCTGTCGATTCCCACTGTTTCATAGATGGGGAAACTGAGGCTTGGAGAGGAAGTGACTTGTCCAAGGTCACTGAGCAGGCTCAAGACTCAGAACCCTTGCTCCAGCTGCCCCACCTCCCCCGCAGCTCAGGAGCCTCCTTCCCCCATGAGCCTGGGCGCCCCCCACGCACACACACATATACTCCCAACCCTCCCCTCTCCCACCCCTGCCCCCTAAGGTGCTCTCTTTGGGGCCTTACTCACGGAGTCCAATCTTGGCCAGGTGCAACCTGTTCACCCAGGAGATCTTGCTCAGGGGGTTGGGGGTGATGAAGACCACCATGAAGCTGATCGGACGGCCGGACCTTCGGTGAGAAGGGCGAGGAGTGTGAGTGCTCAGAGCAAGGGCCTGGCTCCCCCGGGGCCAGCACCCAGCGGGGCCAGCACCCAGCTCTTCCCTCACCCCATGCCTGGGAGAAAGGTCTGCTCAGAGCAGCCAAGTGTGGCCAGGGAGGCCAGCCTCGGTCCCCTAGGGGAGGGGTCCCTCCACCCACCATGGCCCCAGAGTGGCCAGGCCACACTGCAGCCCAGCCCAGGTGCCGCCCAGCCCAGCAAAGCCAGAGGTGCCTGGCCGACTGTCGGCTAAAAGGAGAGAGGCCCTGTCCAGGCTCCACCTGGTCAGCTTTCCACGGGCCTTATCAGACACCTGCTCCGGGAGCCTTGGCAGTGTTTCTCTCTGTGTTTCTGGTGCCGTATCCTCAGGGCAACAGCACTTGGCAAAGGGCAGTTGCCTGGTAACTGTTTGCCAAATGGACACGTGAATGAATGGGGTTATGGCCAAGCCAGAGGCAGCCGGAGGTCAGTTGTCACCACACTGGCGTCCCACCTTGGAGCATCAGGGGCCCTCGGGGTTGGGCATGGCCACGGTGCATGCACACCCCCTCCCATCACAGCAATACTAGCAAATGGACCAGTTCCAGGGGCCCCTCCGAATACCCCACTTCACCGCCGGCCCCTCTGCCTCTCACTTGTCGGGTTTCCCAGGAAGCAGGAGCCGGAGGCGGCACTTGTTGGCTGATTGGATCTCCTCCTCCTTCACCCGCATCAGCCTCTGCAGGGCCAGGCACCAGTCTTGAGCCACGGTCATGTTCAGGTTCTAGGGTGGAGGAGGCCAATGAAGTCCCCACACAGCTCCCCAAAAGCCACACCAGATCCTCAGCCCCTGGGACGCCCCAGGGGAGAGAAGACAAGCAGGAGGCCGGCTCCCCTGGGCTCTGGGCTGCGGGTAGGCTGCCCGGCCCTTGGTTCAGACCCCACCTGACACCCCTGTTTTGAGAGGGACACACCCTCCTAGCGGCTTCCTTTCCAGCCTAGGGCAACGCCAGGAAGGGGCTCCAAGACTGACTGGCCACCGTGCAGAAAACAACAACAAAAAATACCAGGCAGCCAGGCCCCCCTCAACCTGAACCAGAGCTTCAACTTGAACCAGAGGCCACACACCAGTGCTAGGTAGCGACAGGGGGCGTAGTCACACCTGCTGGTGGGGGAACTCAGAGCCACAGCCTCGTCAGGGGACTGGGCCAGGAGGAGAGCCCCCACTCTGCCTGCTGAGTCTGGGGCTGCCCAGAGGGAGGAGCCCCGAAGGCCAGGCCAGCGCTGCGTACCTGGTAGGTGCCGTGCAGCGTGCTGATGAGGAGGGTGATCTGCTCCACCACGGCCAGGTCCTTCTGCAGGTCCTGCAGCTCCTGGAAGAGTCGCGGGGGACCGAAGTACACCTTACCTGGGCAGAGAGAGACCGAGTCAGCTCAGGAGTCGCAAGACGCCAATAAGAACCCAAGTGTCCACTCACTGCGGAAAAGAAGAGCTGTCGCCCTGGGGATATGGCAGCAGAGAGACAGAGAAACATTACCAGGCTCTTGTCTACTGGGGAGCACAGGTCCAACACAGGCAAAGTCCAGCACCTGTGAGCACTCAATCTCTACAAAGGGTCACAGGCGACCAGAAGACAGAACCAATTATGCCTGAAGAGACAAGGAGCCCTCATGGGGCCAGGAGAGTGGCGGGCACTGCCAAGAAGTAGAAAATCATGTGCAAAGGCACTGTGGCTTGAGGAGGCCTGTGAACAGCAAGTTGTTCAAAAGCATGCTGAGGACCTACTATGTGCCAGGTTCTATTCCAGGTATTAGAGCAGTGGTTCTCAACCTTCTGGCCCTTTAAATACAGTTCCTCATGTTGTGACCCCCAACCATAAAATTATTTTCGTTGCTACTTCATAACTGTCATGTTGCTACTGTTATGAATCGTCATGTAAATATCTGATATGCAGGATGGTCTTAAGCGACCCCTGTGAAAGGGTCGTTCGACCGCCAAAGGGGTCGCGACCCACAGGTTGAGAACCGCTGTGTTAGAGGGACAGGTGTGAACAAGACAGGGTCCCCACTCTTATGGAGTGCATGACCTGGGGGAAGGGGATGATGGGGAAGCAGTCCGTTGCAACCACAGATGATAGAGGTACTAAGGAGAATGGTATCAGAGCGATGAGACAGTGATGGGGGGGAGGGTAGGGGGAAGGATGCCCAGATCTCTATTGATGACACAAATGGAGGGCGGGGGCTTGGGAGATGGACAGCAAGAGACGGAGCAAGAGGGACCCGCAGGGACAGGGTGGGGAAGTCCTTCAATGCCATGCTAGGGAACTTGGGCTGTATTCTCTAGGCTGTGGTTTCTCAAGCTGAGATCCACGGGATCCCAGGAGGGGAGTTATTTGGGGCTGTCACTTAGATGATTATCTAAACTTCAGATGCACATCCTGAGTCGCCTGGAGACGATGACTTCAAAGCCACGTTCTGCTGCACGGAGTCCGGGCTCCCATGGACCTCGGTACTGAGCAGGGCGAACTGAATGGTCACCATGGAGCAGGGAGGCGGCCAGGGGAGGGAAGCGATGGCTCATACCAAACAAAGGGCGAGATGGGCTCTGCAGGGACCCCAACAGGAACGCGGGCGGGAATGCGGGTCACCGTAAGGCACCCTGTGTCGTGGGTGCCAAGAGCTCCGAGGAACCCACCCCGTAGGAGGCCACATCCATATTGTGAGCAATTTGGTGCCAGCAAAACAACATCACCCATCCCCTGACATTAATGCTGTTCATTTGAATTTTATGGTTTTGTAGCTTCATTTTTATCTCATTTGTGATTTTTGTTTTGGTTTTATGGTTGTTCAAGGGGTCTGAGCATAAGGCGTCAATTATACCTAGTCTTAGATTTGCACACATTTGAATAACAATATAATAAAAAATCATTCACGGCCAACTGGGGTTCAACGAGAATTTCTTTTTCCCCTTAAAGGGGGTCTGGCAGCATATGACTGTCATCTCAGGAACAAAGTACAGACAGCACAGTGGTTGAAGGAAGTCCCAGAGTGAGGGCAGAGTCGGAGGGGTGGGAGGGGGAGGAGATCTGGGGCTGCAGGTGGCTCCGGAGCCCCTCCCAGGGGCTGCTGCACAGGCAGCCCTGCCCGCCTCCCAGACCAGGGGGAAGAAACGCAGCATCTGGACATGGGCGCAGCTGTCCGGCCAGCCCTCCAAGGGCGAGAGTAAATGATGCAATCGCCCTGTTTCCAGAATCGGCAACAGCCCCATGAGGCAACCCCCAGGGTCAGGCGATGGACAGAGCCCAGAGCCTGAGCCGAGCCCGGCCGGTGGGGGAAGGGAGTGCAGCCAAGCGCTCTCCCAATCCGTGGAAGGTGCTTCCGGCTCAGTGCTCCTTTCTGCTGGCTCTGCGGTTCAGCACCCTTCATTCATTCAGCAAACGGCTGTGAACACCCCCTGGAACCAGCTCCGGGCAGCCAATGCACCGGCCTTGAGAGCATGGGGAGGGTGGGGGCCAGGGGGCAGAACCTGGTCCAGTCCCAAGGAATTTAAACAGGCTTCCTCAGGAAGGGCTACCTGAGCTCGATGAGTAAAGGCAAGTAGACAGAAACAAGCCTGCGGATGGTCAGGACAGGGGAAGGAGGACCCAGCAGAGCCAGGAAGCCCTAACCTGGTCCCTGAGGGTGTAGGGGCAGGATTAGTGTCACCTGAGACCCTGGCTGTCCAGAGGGGCAAACTGAGGCACAGAGAGGAGGTGACACCTGCCCACATCACTCAGGGAGGCAGGCAATGCCCAGGCGGGACTGGAAGTCACGCTTCCTGACTCAAAGTCATTGCCTGTGCAGGCACGTGTGTGCACACGTGTGTGCGAGGGCACGTGGGGCTGGAGTGGGCAGGGCCGGGAGCGCCTGTCTAGTGTGTGCAGGTGTGGCTGTGGGATGTGCGTGTACTCACAGAGGTTGGGGTGTGGGTGTGGGTTTGTGGGGCTGTAAACCAGCAAGAGCTCTGGGCCCAGTGGCCCAGTGGCCTGGGGGCCCCCGGATGGGCCCTGGAGCCTGCGCAGGGGCTCCCCGGGCAGCAGCGGGCGGTACTCACTCTGAGCCTGGCCCGAGGCAGAGGACTTCTTGGCGCCGGCGTGCTGGATGAGCACGTTGTCCTTGTCGTAGGAGCCGCCCTCCTGGCCCACCTCCACCACCTGCACCTGGGGCAGCGCCGTGTTCCACTTCACCACGTACTTGGGCCCCAGGGGCACCAGGCTGCTGATCTCCAGCTGGCCCCTGCAGGGACAGAGAGACGGAGGCCTGGAGAGCCAGCAGCACCCCAGCCCCGGGCCAGCCCAGATGCCCCTTCTCAGCACATCAGCTCAGCCAGGCACCTCACCGCCCAGCACAACACTTCAGGCCAAAACCAAGCCGGGCAGGGCAGGGAGCCGTCGCTGAGGCAAAAGCACCAGGCGCCCAGTCCCCAGCCCCAGATCCAGAATCATGTGTCCCCAAAGCCCCCAAACCCCTACCTGTGGTTGGCAGGCCTGAGGAAAGAAACAAGGAGGGAAAGATGGTTACTGTTACCGAGTGATTTCTACAGGGAATGACTGCTGAGGGCTGGCCAGGTGTGGGCAAAGGGGACCCCATGGAGGGCCTGCTTCCGGGGCCAGGCACTGGCCTCCAGTCTCCTATTCCCACAACAGCCCTGTAGGAAGCCTTTATTATTCTGGACGAGGACACTGATGCTCAGACAGGTCACAGGACTCACCCCAAATCACCCAGACTGATCCCCCCAAAGTGGGCCACTAGCATCCCCATCTCATTTTCGCATCATGCCAGGTGGGCAGAGAGGGTGTTGGTCAGAATGGTACCTAGGACATCAACGGGACTTAAAAATTAGAGTGTGGGAGAGCGGGCATGAGGGAGGGAGTCAGCCCAGCCATAAGCTGGCTGCCGCTCTGCTCTGGGACACAGGCCTCCTTGCCCGAGTTCCCTACCTGTGGACTGGCACAAAGTAAGGGCTCAGTAAATATCTGATGGGTTAATAGTGCCCAAGTCCCCAAACAACCCTGCTGGCTCCCCTTCTAGGCATGGAATCTGCAACCATGGACAATCCCCAACTCTGCTCCATGACCCTGGCTATGGTCACGGGCAGGTGCACCGCCGACCCTGGGTGTGACATCAAGCCAGGCTCCGTGGGCATGCTGGCCCTATGGGGGTTCCAGGCAGGGATGGGAAAGTCAGGCTGGGATTCTACTACGGTGGCTGCTTTCCCTTGGGGTCTTAGCTATTGTGGCCACACTGTGTGTCTGGGGTGTTTTTAAAGTGCGTTAAACACTGGGAGCAGAGATTTTCCTCCACCAGCGGAGAGGAGCCCAGCTGGGGAGGTCCAGCTGCAGTTCCTTTGGTTCAGGGTCATCATCCCTACCGCCTACAAGGCCAAGCAAGGGACACAGGTGAGCGAACCAGCTGATGGGACAGTGAACAGCAGTAGAGGAGACACGTGACCAGCACCCGGCCCGTGTGCCCTGGGCAATGTGGGATCTTCACATTTTCAAGAAAAACAATTGTTTCCATCTTTGGGTGAATGGCTTATGTGAACCAAACAAAAGATTCCTGAAGGCCTAATGCAACCCATGGGCCACAAGTCTGCAGATTCTAGTCTAAAGAATCACCCTCACCCTCTCCAGGGCTCCAACTACTCCGGGCACAGCCTGGCAGCCGGCCCTGGGCATTTCTACAACCTCTGACCCCGGAGCAGCACCCCAGGCCCCTGCGGAAGAAGATGCTCTGGGCAGTGGGGGGACAGGCCCTGGCTCATGTGAGAAACACTGAGGTCCAGTGGGAGGAAGAGCCATGGGAAGTAGAGCAGCTGGACACAGGAAGAATCTCGTGAATTTCAAAGTGGTCAAAACTCAGGAGGCTGTTCAGTGACCAGAACCGACCACACTGTGCAATGGACAGCTGTCTCCCAAAGGCCGGGGTCCCCTGTGACCTCTCCAGGTGCTTCCTGGCTCCGGGACCAGGAACAGAGCAGGCCAGGAGGGATGGGAGAGGAAGCCGGGGTATCAGAGACATAAGCTGAGCTCCCCAGGACCCTATGACAGAGGGGCCAGCCGAGGGACTCTGTCACAGAAGGGCCGGCTGAGGGACCCTGTCACAGAGGGGCCGGCCGAGGGACCCTGTCACAGAAGGGCCGGCCAAGGGACCCTGTCACAGAGGGGCCGGCCGAGGGACCCTGTCACAGAAGGGCCGGCCAAGGGACCCTGTCACAGAGGGGCCGGCCGAGGGACCCTGTCACAGAGGGGCCGGCCGAGGGACCCTGTCACAGAGGGGCCGGCCGAGGGACCCTGTCACAGAGGGGCCGGCCGAGGGACCCTGTCACAGAGGGGCCGGCCGAGGGACCCTGTCACAGAGGGGTCGGCCGAGGGACCCTGCCACAGAGGGGCCGGCCGAGGGACCCTGTCACAGAGGGGTCGGCCGAGGGACCCTGTCACAGAGGGGTCAGTCCAGGGACCCTGTCACAGAGGGGTCAGTCCAGGGACCCTGTCACAGAGGGGTCGGCCGAGGGACCCTGTCACAGAGGGGCCGGCCGAGGGACTCTGTCACAGAGGGGCCGGCCGAGGACAGAAACAGGTCCCCAAGGTCCCCCAGCCGCTTACTTGAAGTTGATGTTGGCGCAGACCAGCATGTCGTTGAGCAGGAAGACCCTGCGCTCCTTGGACTTGATCAGCTGCCCGCGGTCACCGTACACCGTCTCCGTCAGCGTCTCACAGAGGAGCAGCTGCCTCTGGCCCGAGGTCAACAGCTGGTGGAGGGGGACAGAGCAAGGTCAACACCAAGAAGCACGCAGGCTGTTACACAGACATCACCGTGCCAAAGACCCAGCGCTCTCCGGCCAAAAGGAGACCGAGGCTGGGAGAGGCAGAGAAGGCAGGGCCTTGCCCTCCACCTCCAGGTGACAGGAGGCCCTGGGGAGGGCCACAGGCTGGGTCCTCTGACCACCCACCCGGCCCAGCAGCCAGCATCCCTCTCAGGTGAGCCAACCATTGCAGCCAGTCCCTCTGGCAACCCCGCCCGACCAGCACCACCAGGGACCCCAGCCCCGGCTCCCCGAGCACCAGCTGGGAAGCCATCCAGGGGGATCATTTCACCTGCCCACACCTCAGCCGTCAAGTGGGGCAACAATCTCCACCGCTCAGGTCACCAAGGTAACGCACGAGCAGACATGGCTACGTAACTTCCCAAGCCCAGAGCAACATGGAAATGTGCCCCTCGTTCAAAAGTTACTACGAATTACAAGACGCGATAGCAGCGCATTGAACCCAGCGCAGGCCCTTCTGCGCCCCGGCCCTGTGACAGTTCAGGGGGTGCACCCACGAAGCTGACACGGCAAAGATGGCAGCTGTCCCCGCTGCTGCTGTCGTGACCGAGCTCACCAGGAAGGGGTGTGGTTTCACGCAGGGAGACCCCTGGCCTGGAAGTTGGTCCAGTCCCTGTACCCTGACCTGTTGAGCCTCGGCCACTCTCGCCCCTTGGAAGGGCTCCCATCGGGGCAGGGCAGGTCTGCTGGTCAATGAGGCGACCCTCTGAGGTGGCGAAGGACCTTCAAGCCCCAGGCCTCTCCGCAGCCTGGACACCAAGAACCCCCTCCAGCACTGGGCCCCTCTGGGAAAACATGTTTTTATTAATAGGAATATTGGGGAGTGGGGAGGGGTTCGGCAAAATTCATTCCCAAAACCCATGACTCCAAGGGCAACAGTCATCTTCCCCATCCTCCCCGCCCTCCTGGGGGGAAGGGCAGAGCCCCCCAAACCTCTCCTGGAAAGAATGCCTGTCAATCTCCAAAAAAACACGTGTCTCTGTCAACAGAGAAGCCCAAACAAACAGTACGAAACCCCACTGTGCGCCGGCCACGGTGCTCAGCACTAAGTATTCCGCTTCTCACTTCATTTGCGCAGCAGTCCCGAGGCCATGCCCATCACCAGAGGAGGAAACGGAGATCCCAGAGGTGAAGAGACCTCGGAGACCCAGCTTGGATGGAGCCAGGCCACGTGCGCTGTCCCTCCAGCTCCTGGCTGGGCCATCGGAGTCAGGGGAGAGCCCGCTGCTCCGAACACAAGGAAAAGATTCGAGGTTCCTCGGGTTCCCCCCATAACTGCTGGGGCCGAGCTCCTCCCACTACTTCTACCAATAAGCTGACCCCCGCTCAGGAGACAGGCCTGGGACCCTGAGGACAGCGGGCCCCATGGGAGACTGCCAAGTGTGCCGTGACCCAAAACGTGGAAGAGGAAAGTCCCCTGGGCTTCTGGCAACCACCCCCCTGCCCTTAGGCAGAGTTAAAGAAAACCCTGATATTGCACAAGCGTCCCCCGGAGGGTCCCGAGCAGGCACATTATGAAACAGCCGCACAGTTCCGTTTGGGGCCCACCCGGTTTCATTTCCGCTTTCCCCTGGGTGATGGAGCAGGGGAAAGCCACTGGCCCAGCTGAGATTGCCCAAGGGGGCCCTGGCAGGGGGAAGGCACGGCAGCGGCCGCCACCAAACTCTTCACAACATCCACACCTAGCAAGACACCCCCTACATGACAGGTGGAGAACCAGACTCAGAGCCTACAGTTCCTTGCCCAACACCAACAGGTCTTCCTGACCTCCAGCCAATGACCACCACTCCTTACTGCCCGGGTCCCCCTGGGGGACAGAGCAGAATAGAAGAGATGGCTCTTCCCCGAGTAACTGCTACGGCAAAGGGCTTCCTTATCCCGATAATCTCTTCCCACGGCGGCTGCACAGGTGTGTGAGCAGAGGCAAGAAAAACCCTGCCAGTTACAGAAAAGGAGCTAAAGCAGAGGACAGAAGAAGATACTCCAAAGGGCAAAGCCCATTAAATACCAGCACAGGTGGCCACGGATGGGCTGAAGTCTTTTTCTCAAGAGACATCCCAAGATAGAAGGCTTGGGTGTTACTAGCTACCATAAGGGTGTCCTGCCTAGAGGCAGGGAGCGGGCAGGGGATGACACCCAGCCTTCATGCCCACCTTGATCAATCAGGGATGGGGACATCCCCCCAGGAGGAGGCTCTGTCTTCTACCCATCTTTTTCCCCCATCTCTTTCCTCCTAGAATAGGTGAAGCAAACCCAGATGCCTGTGGGGCCAGCAGGGAACCTCATTGGGAAGACGTGGGGAGGGGCTGCGGGGAGTGGGAAGCCACAGCTCAGGTGACTGTTACCATGTAGGAAGTTCCTTGCCCAACACCAACAGGTTTCCTAGCTCTTCCAATCCTTCAGGAAGACCCTCAAGTATGAATTTTACGGGATATCTCTCCATTTTCAAATGTTGGCAACTAATTCCATTTTTTTTAACTACCATGTGGGTCCAAAAACACATGTGCAGCCTGAATTTGGTGGGAGAGTCTCAAGATGTAGGACCCCTGACGCTTAGAATTGCAAGGGACCCTGCAGATTGTCTTGTCCCCAGCCCGGTTACTCAAGCTGTGGTAAAGATTTTTTTTAAAAATGTGGGTTAGAGAGTACTATATACTGTAAGGTCGCGGTCCGCCTGGAAAAGGCTGTTTTCCTGACAACCCTTCCTGTACTATTAGGACATTCACCATGTAGCTGAAATCTCACTGGGCCTTAGTCACTGGCCTTAGTTCTGCTTTCGGGCCCACAGAGCCAGAAGGCTCCCAGTTTTCCCCAAAAAAGATCTGGACATCTCCCCATGACCCAGCACAAAGTCACTTCCCCATGTTCCCGCCACTGTGCCCCAGGGCGGGGTCGCCTCACCCTGAACCATCTGGGCTGACTTCCACCCTCCGGTAAGTGAAGGAAGGTGAAGGCTGGGGTGCAGATCTGGGGTCTCGCAGGCAGCTGAGGTCACATGCCACTCGGACACAGGGGACTGACATCTACCAACAGGTGGCTCTAGGAGGTGACTTTTTTTGTACTGGCTTTGTATTTTTATATGTTTTTATTGATTTCAGAGAGGAAGGGAGAGGGAGAGAGGGGTAGAAACATCAGTGATGAGAAACATCATTGACTGGCTGCCTCCTGCACGCCCCCTACTGGGGATCAAGCCCACAACCTGGGCATGTGCCCTGACCAGGAATCGAACCATGACCTCCTGACCCACACCGGCCGGGCTGGCTTTGTATTTTAAAAACAGGGGTCTCTACAGGCTTATTTGAAAGTTCTTCAAGATTTTTTTTTTTGGGGGGGGGTGGTGTAGAATATTCCTAAGTTGCAATCCCAAGACCTAGCATGGACTTTTCATCTTTCTTCTTCTTTAAAAAAACACTGATAATGTTATTTGTATAAGTCCTTTGTATTAAGGACTCTGGGCCTGCTGTTTTTCTGACTCCCTCATTTGCCCCTGGGGGTCAGGCACCTTTGAATTCTCCTTTCAGTGGGAGCAAGTGAGGTTCAGAGAGGTTGTGTGATTCCCCTGAGGCCACACAGTGAACACCAGTAGCAAAATCAGGATCCAAACCCCGAACTCTGACTCCAGAGCCCACTTGCTCAAGCACAGTATTAGGCTACCATTTCCCATATCTTTACCGGCAATTCCATGAATGAACAAAATGAGCCTTTATCCTAAAGTAACACGAACAGTAATGAATGTGGGGGGTCCAGTGAGACTAATCCTCCAGGTAAGGTCTGTGGGCACAGAGAGAAGCCAGGAAGCCCCTCCCTCTGAGAACACTGCCACCTGGTGGTGGCCACCAGTCAGGCGGCAGGGAGGTGATCAAGGCTGCAGAACAGGTGAGGGCATGCACGCAGGTGGGGCGCCCCCGGCACTCACCTTGTTGAGGCTGCTGCGGTCGCTGACGCTCTTGGTCAGCTGCTGGATCTCGGCCACCTGGTCAGCGAGCCGCTTCTGCTCATTGAGCTTCTCGGCCAGCGTCTCCAGCTCCGTGAGGGCCAGCTGCAGCGAGAGCCTGTCCGGGTGGCCCCTGGGGGTGTTCTTCAGCATGTCCTGCCAGGGCCGAGAGAGCCAGGGCTGAGAACCCCACCCTAGCAGACCCCCCTGGCTGGGGTCAGAGCCTCAGCCTCCACACCCCTACGGAGACCCTGGAGACCGGTCTGAAAGGCTCAGCTTGCAGCCAGGACAGGGGGGACTTGGCATAGAGCATGGCTCAAGGAACAGCAAATGAATGAAAAATAACAAGCGTGTGGACCCATCCCTGATTCACCGATGCTGACAGCCATCCCCGCAGCTGGCAGCTCTGAGGACAGAAAGAGGACGCTGCTGGGCCCTCGGCTGGCAGCCTCCTTCCCAGCTGGGCCCAGGCTCACCCGTGACAGAGATGCCCCAAGGTCTCGGGCCCTGGGCACGGGGTGGGGCAGGACTCGCGGGGAGGGGGCCTCTTGCTTCCTGTGAAGCCTGAAGTGGCCCAGGTCAGCTCATTCCCTGAGCATCTCCTTCCTGCCTAGAGCCCACAGGTCCTGGGTTCCACATGCCTTCATTCCCTTCCAGAATCCTGGGCTCACCCACCACCAGCCACTCGGCATTCCACATGGGGAGGTGGGAAATACGCTCCCAATCTGATCAGCTCCACTCCAGGAGTGAACTAGGAGGGGCCAGGCTGGTGGGGGAGAGGGAGAGGCCCCGCCCACAGTCCACAGCAGATGCAGGGACTGCAGATGACAGATGAGAGCCCCCACCCACCAGGCGCACACCATGCAGGCAGGTGGCTGCAGAGCCCCGGTGGTACCTGAAGCAGGAGGATGAACTGCGGGAACCTCTGGATGGGCTTCACCATCAGCCCGTAGAGCGTGACGCGGTCGGGGCTACACACCTGCCGCCGCTGTTGAAGACGAGGTGGAGTCATTCGCTGACCCTCTGCAGCGAGGCCCCCGCGCCCCCGGCTGCAGACGCCGCCCGGGATGGGCTCCTCTCCCCGGGCCCAGGACTCTGCTCAGCCTCGGGCCTGAGAGAAGAGCCAGGGGGGGGTCTCTGGTCCCGCGGCCAGGGCTCCCGGCCACCACGGGGTCCCCACACAGCCCCTCAGCCTGGAGAAGCTAGAGTGGTCATGTTAAGGTCTCTGGACTAACAGCATAATTGGGAAATTCAGCCATTTATTGCAGTGGCCGTACCTCTACAATAGCTGAGACAACCACTCCCTCCACTTAAACCAGCGGTTCTCAACCTGTGAGTCTCGACCCCTTTGGTGGTCGAACAACCCTTTCACAGGGATCGCCTAAGACCATCCTGCATATCAGATATTTACATGACGATTCATAACAGTAGCAACATTACAGTTATGAAGTAGCAATGAAAATAATTTTATAGTTGGGTCACAACATGAGGAACTGTATTTAAAGGGCCAGAAGGTTGAGAACCACTGAAACGAAAGCAGCTGGGCCTGGCCAGGACGAGGGGAGGGCACGGGGGTCTTACTGTCCTCTCTCTTGCATCTGTTCCCACCACTCCATCCACACACCTGTCACCTAGATCCTGGCCCTCGTCCCTGGTAACCCAGGCTGCTGCCACAGCCTCTCCACTGGCCTCCACGTCCCCCTGCCCCAGCCCAAAGCTCCGCAGCAGCTCCCACTGCCTGAAACACACTGTCCCGCAGGTCCAGGGCCGCCCACACTGAACACAGCTGCCTCTGGGCCTCCTCTCCTGGGACTCCCCAGCAGCAGTGCTCCCGGGATCCAACCAGACACGCTCACCTGTCCCCATCCTCCTGCCTCTGACCTTTGCCCCCACCCTGCACCTGTTACACTCCTCCCCCATCTCCACCTGTTATAATCCCATCATACCCCCAGGACCCATGGCAGACGCCCTCTTGGACCAGGGCATTGGGTTCCTCAGCTGAGGCCCGGCTCCTGGCTCACCTGCACCACCCACCGGGCGGCATGCTCCCTGCAGGTAGGACCTCCATCTGACTCGCCTGACTGAGCACCCAAAGAAATCTGGGGGAGCCTGGCCACAGCTACATGAGGCCTTTGGTCCTTTTACCTCTAATCTCCCACATGAACCCCAAGACACCCCTTTGAGAAATTCTCCTCACCCTTTTACAAATAAGGAAGAGGTTGTGGTTCGATTCCTGGTCAGGGCACATGCCCAGGCTGTGGGCTCCGTCCCCAGTAGGGGGTATGCAGGGGGGCACCCGATCAGTGAGTCTCTCTCATCATTGATGTTTCTATCTCCCTCTCCCTCTCCCTTCCTCTCTGAAATTAATAAAAATCTATTTTTTTAAATAAGAAAAGGGACAGCCCAGCGACACCCTGAGCTCTACCTGGAGGCACCCTGCCCAGCCCGCCAGAGGTACAGGCCCCGGCACTGCTGGGTCTCCCCACGGCAGACCCACCATCATCTCACCCATCCCCAAGAGGTCACAGGCCTCCCCTTCCGCCTGGCAAAGCCAGGATCCCAAGAGGCTAACTGTCACTCATCATCCCCCTCCTTTTGGGGGGCAGGAGGAACCCCTGTCTTCCCATGGGACTGTGGGAGCCCCAAAGGAAAGAGGTGTCCCCCACAAAGCGATGTGCTACCTGAAGCTGGGCCAAAGTCCCCCCTCCTGAAAAGCCCTCCCGCCCCACCGCCGCCAGCCGCCAGCGCCCGTTGAGGGGGCTGCGGACCACCGCCAGGCCCACCTTGAGGAACTCGAGGAAAGCGGGCTTGGTGAGACAGGCCTTCTTGATGATGGACATGGCGTTGGTGAAGTTGTTCACGTAGTCGCTGTACACGTCGAGCACCATGGACTTGGAGAACTGGAACGGGCACGGGAGTGGCACGGGAGGGTCACACCCCGCCCACCCTCACTGCCACCTCAACTGCTCTGACGACACCTGGAGGATCTCAGCTAGTCTGAGGTCAGGACACCTGTCACCCCAGGGAGGGGAGGAGACCGGGCTCAGAGAGGGCAGGAGATCCCAGGTCACAGGGAGGAGAGGCGGGGACAAGGACAGCCTGGTGCTCCTCCTGCCCGAGCACGGCAGCCCCGCCCACAAATGAAGGTGTGACACCCCCAGAAAATAAGATCCCCCAAGCCCTTCACCCCCCAGGGGCTGCTCCTGACCCCAAACTCCTGGGACACACTGACCAGGTGTCGGATCTGCTGAGCACTCAGGTTTTAAACAATCCTTTCTCTTTTAGCAGAACCCAAATATTTAAGACGCGTCGGAGTGGGGTTCCACCGACTTCACCCTCCTTAGCTCCTTGGGTCTCTCTGGGGCCCAGGGGTTTCTGGCACACCCCTCATTCCACAGAGGGGACCTGGGTCTGAGAGGGCCCTAGAGCTGCCGGACATGGCCAAGCGGAGCGGAGGCCAGGCCAGGTCTCCTGGAGCGTGATCCATGCTGAGGAGGCCCCGACACCCTGGGACATCCTCCGGGGGCCCAGGCGTGGTCTGTTTAAGCATCGCCAACAGTGGTCACCCGGGAGTGCCCGGCAGGGGACCTTCAGACCCCCGGTGGCTGCCCACAGCGGCCGGGCCCCTGGAGGTCCCCAGCACCATGCCGGCAGCCATCTCCAAGGCCACACCGGGCACTGGAAGGTGCCATGCCGACCCCCGGCTTGGACCACAGGGCAGATTCAGGCCCCGCCACCCTGTGACCCCACTGACTCGGACGGGGGAGCAGGCAGAGGCAGGAGGCTGGCCCACATGACCACAGGGCCAGGCAGGCTGTGGTTTCCCCTGGGTGGGGGGCCAGGGAGAGAGTCTGGGGACACCTACCGAAGCCACGAAGAGGTCCCCGATCTTCTCGGAGGCGTCCCACTCGGCCACGCGGGAGGACAGGGCGATCTGGAACATGGAGTGGCAGTGCAGGATCTCCTTCACGCGGAAGAACACCACCTGGCACTTGCGGAGGCTCAGCGCCTTGGGCTCCATCTCCACCAGCGGGTTGCGGTAATCCTGCGGGGCGGGCGGGGTGAGCCGGCCAAGGCCAACGAGAACTCGGCGGGCCAGGCATGGGCCCTCCTGTCGGGGAGCAGGTATCCCTCCCTCCCCCCCCCTCGCCTGTCTTCTAGGAGGATCTCCATGATGTAAGCCTCCTGGCCCCCCTGTGCCCACCCACAGCCCACCCCATGACTTCTGTGTTAAGCTGGGCTGGGAGGAGCTCCATGGTGTCAGCCCTCAAGGCCAGGCTGGCCCTGTTCAGCTCTGCCCGAGCCTGAGCCAGTCTGTCTGATGGAGCAGGGCAATGCTGTCCCAGGGAGCGCCCCTGACCCCCAGCTTTGTCAGACACACAGGCGTTTTCATCTTCATCTCTACCTGCCTGAAGTCCGGGGACCGGGCTCCCCTGTATGGCTCCTACCCCGACACACCCCTTCCCTGGTGGG